CCACACAAAACAAATCCTGCAGCACACAGTGCATAATGAGAGGAAAAAAACAGACCGTAATTTTCAATTAAAACAGCGATTTCGCAGTGTTTTTTCGTATGTTTTTTATAGTTGTATTTGCGATTTCTTGGTCTCATTTGATAGAATGGAAGATATATTACAGAAATAGAGATGATTTTGATTGGTTTTAGTACTGGAAATGGCTTAAAACTGAGCTCAAAGTACCGGAAATGTTAAATTTTTGCCGATGTTCAGGAGTAAACAATTGACCTCACATGTCTAACACACACCTGCTGGTGGGTCTAATATACGTTCACAAATGTGGTGATATTATTTATACAATTATTACAATATTGCATAAGAGTAAATCTTCTATTTTTTTGGTTTGAATAAAAATTCATTATGTGAATAATAAATCAAAATGGAATTCATTTGTAAAGCCTGAAAATGTAACTGATGAACAGAGGAAATGTTAGTTTAGTGCCAGGAATGCCTGCATTGTTTATTCTGGATCCTATTTTGAAACTGGATAATTTTGAACTTTTCGTTAAATTGGCCAAATTACCAGTTTCCGGTCACTTTATTTTGTAGTTGAAACAGTTGACTTGTGATTTCTTGTGCTCAATCGATATAATAGAAGTAATACTAGTGAAATAGCTAAGAATTTGGTTGACTGGAATAATGTAGTTGGCTTAAAATGGGAGTCAAAGTCGGCAAAATCGCTGATGCGTAAATATCGCTGACACATCAAAATTCACGAGAGCATAAATTCATCAGTTTTCCATCAAATTTCTTACTTTTTGTTTTATTACCTTCAGAAAAAGATTCTCTACTATTTCATAAAAAAAATAACAATATTTTTTGAAAATTCTTGGACCCTGGTGCACACTTTTAAATTTGGCCTCTGGACCCTGAAAGGGTTAAAGAGGGTGACCGGTAAGCCAGCGGAAGCCCTTGGTCAGATGACCAGAAGCTCCAGCTATGGGTCATCATATGACTAAGACCCGTGTAAGGAAACGTTTGTCGTGTTTCCTAACAAACGTTATACCTGCCATTACCACCCGTGCCTCACACCTGTATAAGAGCGTTTATGCCATTATACATCCTCTCCTCACTTAGTGACATACTTGTTTACCAACACCTCGGAATTACAATGGGCTCTCTGACCAGTATTTATACCTAAATACATAATGTATATTACAGCTGATTGTCTCTCTTCTGTTTATTTCAATATACAATACACTTCTGTATAAACATGTAACAATATACCAGAAATATTATAAATGGTGCAAAGGTGATATTAAAACAATATCAGAGATGGTTGACACAAACCCACTATTGTTATAATATGCTCCTCACTTAGCGATGAATTCGTTTAACGATGTGGTCTTAGGAACGGACCTCCACCGTTAAGTGAGGAGAGGCTGTATTCTCATACATTTCCCGCTTTGTTTCCATGGATAACATTCTTTGCCTCCACAGACTTCTCAGTACACCACTTGCTGTTTTCCCCTCGTCAGTTCTATGGTTCACTTTGTCTTTCATAGACCCATCTGCTGACAAGCCCACTCTTAGATATTTGAATACGTTCACTTTCTCCACACTCCTTCCAGTCTAATATCCAGTCTTTCATTACCTCAATTTTTTGTTACCCATGCTCTTTCATATGTTTACCTTTAATTTCCTTCTTTTACATTTTTTTTTTTTAATAAGTCGGCCGTCTCCCACCGAGGCAGGGTGACCCAAAAAGAAAGAAAAAATCCCCAAAAAGAAAATACTTTCATCATCATTCAACTCTTTCACCTCACACATAATCACTGTTTTTGCAGAGGTGCTCAGAACACAACAGCTTAGAAACATATACGTATAAAGATACACAACATATCCCTCCAAACTGTCAATATCCCGAACCCCTCCTTTAGAGTGCAGGCATTGTACTTCCCATTTCCAGGACTCAAGTCCGGCTATATAAAAATAACATACATAAAATACATACCCTCCCAAATGTTGAGGTTTGGAGGGTCAGCTAAACTGTAATGTTGGTGCCCTTTTGACAAGAGTGATTTCGTGATAATAAAAGTGTTTTTTCTCATTGTTGGGTTACCCTGCCTTGGTGGGAGATGGTTGGAAGGTTAACAACAAAAAAGGTTTCCTTGTGTATACCACCAAGGAGAACAAAAGACCATTTTTAAAAAATGTGCTTAAATGACATGAAAAGGAATTTCTTCATTTTTTTTTTTCAACAAGTCGGCCGTCTCCCACCGAGGCAGGGTGACCCAAAAACTTGATCAATTTAATACTGTAAATCTTGAAGTTGGAAAGGGATCCAACTTGAAGTAGTATTACTATATGTGATAAAATGTCTAGAAACATTAGAATTATATATACTGTAGGAAAATAATTCCATAAACGGCTTTACTTCTGTAACTAAAAGTAGGTTCAGTGTTATGTAGTTGCATGATACAGTGTACTATACTACATATTTGCTTTTCATGCCTCACAGTGGAAGAGCTACGAGGTGCACGGGAAAATGAGGAGAGATTGAAAGGGCAACTAGCTGAACTGCAACGCAAGGAGCAATACCATATTATGCGACTCTCTTGTAAGGAGCATGAACTACAGGATATGGGGGTAAGTGCCATATTTGTATAATTTTGTGCTCTAGTGGATTCTTATTAGCTCTGGTTCTTGTTCTTGGAAGCAGTTTGTCTTTAAAATATATATCTAGAAAGACAGTGCAATATACAATACAGTATTCATTATTCGGTGTAGTTCCAAAGAGGATGCATCTCTTATTGTTGAGTGCTCAGGTGCTAGTGCAAGTTTGCTCATGTGTTTGCATTTGTGTTCTTAGTGGGGTTTCCTTGAAGTATTTACTGGGCATTCCAGCCCACTGGATCATGACCTGCTAGGTACATGCAGTAAGGAATACAGCTGAAACTAAAACACAAGTCAGGTTTTCATGGTTGTAGGATGTTATTATACTTCAGTTTGAGAACATGTTCTTGAAAGTTTTTATTACTGTTCTTTACATACTTTTTCACTTATTTTAATGTTATTTATTTTTATTACTATTGTTATGCAATGAATGTTAATGTGTGCGTGTGTAGTAAACAGTGACAGATAATAGTTACCTAAATCTTACAAGTAGAACCCATGTAATGTAGCTCTTCAGCAAGAAGTACTATGGAAAGAAGAAACTAAAACCAACAAGCTGATAAAATGATGATAGGGGGAATGGAAACCTTTATCAAGACAAATTTCACTTAGGGATCAAGCTTTTGGTTTCTGAGCAAAATCTTTCAGTAAATATTTTCATTCTTTCATAATGTATTTTGAACAAGCATTGCTTTTTTTTTTTTTTTTTAGTCAATCAGTATTTTAAAATGTCTTAGATTTGTTTTAATTATTAGCAGTTTTTTTGTATTTTACATGTGCAACTTTTGTGTAATGTATAGAAAACTCAATTTGCAAAATTATTTAGTTAATAATAAGCATTTTATTTAAACATTGGTCATCTCCATTGAGTTAGCATGACCCAAAAACTCATTCATGGTCATTCATTTGGTTGCTATCTTACCAGAAGCATGCTGACGTCAAGGTTCAGGTGGCCCTCTGACTTGCAACATCCTTATTCCTTTAGGTTGTAGCTACTGTACTAACTTCAACTAACTGGATTCCTTAAATCCTTTCATATATTTTTCAATTGGTATTTTTTTAATTTTGTGTAAAATTGGCCAAATTACTGATTTCTGTGCACTTTATAGGTTAATTGTAATAGTTGAATGGGTGGTTTCTTGTGCTCAACCAATAGAATGGACGTCATACAATTTTTTTTTAAAGTGTACATGGAGCAATATTAATTTCAGGGGCCTGGACATTGGGTATTTAGAGAAGATGGAACCAAATAGGATGAACAAGAAGGTGTATAATTTGTGGGAGGAGGACAGGGAGGTAGGGGATTGTCTCAGGAAAGGTTGGAGGAAGGAAATAAAGGAGATTTAAATTGCTAGGAGCTTGAGCATCCATCAGGCTTATGTGTGTATGTCAGATCAGAGTAGTGGAGAGGAGTTGTTGTTATGGCTTGACATGCTGTTGAGTGTGAATAAGATAGTGTGGTATGAAGGATTTGAGGAAATCAGTTAGCGGGACTCGAGACCTGTGGGTGAGGAGCACAGTCCCTCACTCAGAAGGTGAGCTGGGAGTGCTGCAGTTTGGAGGGTCATTTGAATTGTAATGTCTGTACACTTCTGGCAAGACAGCTATTAAATGATTGATGGCAAATGTGTTTTTTTTTTGGTGGGAGATGGCTGGTGTTAGAAATGTATATGTTTAATTGTTCTGTACTGTACTTTCATCTATGTTCTCTTAATATTTGATTTTCTTGTAGGATTTATCAACAGCCAATATTTTATACAGAATTTTTATGCTTCTGTATTCAGCTTATCCATGCATTTGTGGATGTAGGGTGTTCAGAACTGTTTCCTAGGTATTTAGGTTATGCCACCAAAGTGGCTAGTTTATTGTGCACCCTATATCTTTCACCGGGTTGCTATCTGGAAAAGACCCAGGCCGGAAGTACCGGCGAATCCCTATATCTTTCCTATGGATGGTAGTCCTAGAGCATATATATGTACAAAAGGCCTAGGAATTAATCCCCAAAAGGGTTAACAGGAGTACATCTGAATTTATATCTTCTTTTGATCTATTGAAAGCAAATTTTGGAAATTTGTTTAATATGTTTGGTACTGTATCATATTTTCATTAATAAGATATCTTGATATATCACATTGTCTATTTCTATATTCCTTAATTAATTAAAGACAGTACAGTATGGGTGTGGGAGTGCTCTGGGAGCACATAGTGTTTAAGATAGTGACCATACTCCTGACCACATACTTTGCATTTGGTTTGATCATCATCTGTGTGTCTGTCGCTAGATAACAGGGATATCTTGCTACTCCTACTTACACTTTAGTCACACTTCACAGACATGCACATGCATATATATATACATACATCTAGGTTTTTCTCCTTTTTCTAAATAGCTCTTGTTCTTCTTTATTTCTTCTATTGTCCATGGGGAAGTGGAAAAGAATCTTTCCTCCGTAAGCCATGCGTGTCATATGAGGCGACTAAAATCCCGGGAGCAATGGGCTAGTAACCCCTTCTCCTGTAGACATTTACTAAAAAAGAGAAGAAGAAAAACTTTATAAAACTGGGATGCTTAAATGTGCGTGGATGTAGTGCGGATGACAAGAAACAGATGATTGCTGATGTTATGAATGAAAAGAAGTTGGATGTCCTGGCCCTAAGCGAAACAAAGCTGAAGGGGGTAGGGGAGTTTCAGTGGGGGGAAATAAATGGGATTAAATCTGGAGTATCTGAGAGAGTTAGAGCAAAGGAAGGGGTAGCAGTAATGTTGAATGATCAGTTATGGAAGGAGAAAAGAGAATATGAATGTGTAAATTCAAGAATTATGTGGATTAAAGTAAAGGTTGGATGCGAGAAGTGGGTCATAATAAGCGTGTATGCACCTGGAGAAGAGAGGAATGCAGAGGAGAGAGAGAGATTTTGGGAGATAAGTGAATGTATAGGAGCCTTTGAACCAAGTGAGAGAGTAATTGTAGTAGGGGACCTGAATGCTAAAGTAGGAGAAACTTTTAGAGAGGGTGTGGTAGGTAAGTTTGGGGTGCCAGGTGTAAATGATAATGGGAGCCCTTTGATTGAACTTTGTATAGAAAGGGGTTTAGTTATAGGTAATACTATTTTTAAGAAAAAGAGGATAAATAAGTATACAAGATATGATGTAGGACGAAATGACAGTAGTTTGTTGGATTATGTATTGGTAGATAAAAGACTGTTGAGTAGACTTCAGGATGTACATGTTTATAGAGGGGCCACAGATATATCAGATCACTTTCTAGTTGTAGCTACACTGAGAGTAAAAGGTAGATGGGATACAAGGAGAATAGAATATCAGGGAAGAGAGAGGTGAAGGTTTATAAACTAAAAGAGGAGGCAGTTAGGGTAAGATATAAACAGCTATTGGAGGATAGATGGGCTAATGAGAGCATAGGCAATGGGGTCGAAGAGGTATGGGGTAGGTTTAAAAATGTAGTGTTAGAGTGTTCAGCAGAAGTTTGTGGTTACAGAAAGTGGGTGCGGGAGGGAAGAGGAGCGATTGGTGGAATGATGATGTAAAGAGAGTGGTAAGGGAGAAAAAGTTAGCATATGAGAAGTTTTTACAAAGTAGAAGTGATGCAAGGGGGGGAAGAGTATATGGAGAAAAAGAGAAGGGGTTTAAAGAGAGTGGTGAAGCAATGTAAAAAGAGAGCAAATGAGAGAGTGGGTGAGATGTTATCAACAAATTTTGTTGAAAATAAGAAAAACTTTTGGAGTGAGATTAACAAGTTAAGAAAGCCTAGAGAACAATGGATTTGTCAGTTGAAAATAGGAGAGGAGAGTTATTAAATGGAGAGTTAGAGGTATTGGGAAGATGGAGGGAATATTTTGAGGAATTGTTAAATGTTGATGAAGATAGGGAAGCTGTGATTTCGTGTATAGGACAAGGAGGAATAACATCTTGTAGGAGTGAGGAAGAGCCAGTTGTGAGTGTGGGGGAAGTTCGTGAGGCAGTAGGTAAATGAAAGGGGGTAAGGCAGCCGGGATTGATGGGATAAAGATAGAAATGTTAAAAGCAGGTGGGGATATAGTTTTGGAGTGGTTGGTGCAATTATTTAATAAATGTATGGAAGAGGGTAAGGTACCTAGGGATTGGCAGAGAGCATGCATAGTTCCTTTGTATAAAGGCAAAGGGGATAAAAGAGAGTGCAAAAATTATAGGGGGATAAGTCTGCTGAGTATACCTGGTAAAGTGTATGGTAGAGTTATTATTGAAAGAATTAAGAGTAAGACGGAGGAATAGGATAGCAGATGAACAAGGAGGCTTTAGGAAAGGTAGGGGGTGTGTGGACCAGGTGTTTACAGTGAAACATATAAGTGGAACAGTATTTTAGATAAGGCTAAAGAGGTCTTTGTGGCATTTATGGATTTGGAAAAGGCGTATGACAGGGTGGATAGGGGGGCAATGTGGCAGATGTTGCAAGTGTATGGTGTAGGAGGTAGGTTACTGAAAGCAGTGAAGAGTTTTTACGAGGATAGTGAGGGTCAAGTTAGAGTATGTAGGAAAGAGGGAAATTTTTTCCCAGTAAAAGTAGGCCTTAGACAAGGATGTGTGATGTCACCGTGGTTGTTTAATATATTTATAGATGGGGTTGTAAGAGAAGTAAATGCGAGGGTCTTGGCAAGAGGCGTGGAGTTAAAAGATAAAGAATCACACACAAAGTGGGAGTTGTCACAGCTGCTCTTTGCTGATGACACTGTGCTCTTGGGAGATTCTGAAGAGAAGTTGCAGAGATTGGTGGATGAATTTGGTAGGGTGTGCAAAAAGAAGAAAATTAAAGGTGAATACAGGAAAGAGTAAGGTTATGAGGATAACAAAAAGATTAGGTGATGAAAGATTGGATATCAGATTGGAGGGAGAGAGTATGGAGGAGGTGAATGTATTCAGATATTTGGGAGTGGACGTGTCAGCGGATGGGTCTATGAAAGATGAGGTGAATCATAGA